CAAATTGTCATTGTGCAAGACTGGTGAAGTCCTGTGACAATGACAAATAAATTGTCCCAGAAATTATTGCAATAAATTATAACATTGCAGTAATACAATGAAATAATGGCATAATAATGCATGTTTTCTCTCTCAGCGACTAACTTTGTACAGAGCACACTGCACTGGAAGAGGAAATTAATAAATAATGTAATCCAAAACAACTAAAAAAATACATAAAAACGAAATAACCATGAATAAAATGGATTATGAAGTCTCTTTAAACAAAACTGCCTTTCAAAAAATATTAATCGGAAATTTGATTTATTACTTGTTGGCTCAGGCTTAGTAGGTTGCACATTTGTTTACAGCCCCCTTCTCTGTCACCCCTGAATAAAATTAGGTATGGTTAACAAAACATCTGGACAAACATCTTTATGACATCAGTGTCATAAAGACAGTCGGTGTGGATGTGGCAGAAATAAAAAGAGGAACTACTAAAGCTAGTCTTTCCTATTGCATTTCTATTTATAAACTGTACATATGCATTTGTGTACATAAATAGACATGCAAACTTATGGAGTAACTGTTCAAAGAAGCCTTAACAAGTCCCACTTAAAAAAAGTTATGTGGTCCTAAACCGACATTGTAAACACATCAAATCCTCAGTCAGGCAAATCGGTGGCAGCATAATGGTTTGGGGTTACTACTGCAGCAATGGGAACACCTCAAAGCCAATAGGAAGGAAATATTAAAAAAAAAAATCTCCAACACATGATACCTTCCAGACTCTTAACGAAGGAGCTGGAGGAATGTGAGACATTAAGACACACTGTGCATAGTCAGCTCTGTATGAAAGGCTCTTTGTAAAGGTTCGGGTTCGTAGGTGTGGCGGCTTACCCAGCTAATTTGCACACCATGTAAAGGGTGTACAGAGAGGCTTAAATTCATTTTGAGAAAAAAACAACAACAACAAATGTTTAGATACCTTAATTGGTCTTTAAACAGGACATTTAACTCCTGCTTAAGCTGAAGAAATATTCCACTCTTAATGGGGTGGGGAAAGCAGATCATCAGATCATTCCAGCTTCCAATTATTTTCACTAAATGAAATTATTACTGAATCGTCCTCATTGGACAAAACTGCAAATGGGTGATGTTGTTCCGAAGCGACAAAAAACATTAATTCTGATCTCAGTTTCACTCTAGATGCAATCAGCACATGTAGCTTTACTTCTAATCACTAATCCACAGCACAGAAATTAAATAACAATAATAATTTAAAAAAAAAAGATTGGAACCATTGTCTGAACCCACCAACCAATGACTGTGTCACAATAGTTCCTGCAGCTGCTTCCCACAAAGCTGCATTGAATTCTCTGTGCTGGAAGGTTGTTTTTTTCCTATTAAGCACCTGCAGGAAGAGCTAGCCTTGCCGAGCAGCACGCCACGTGCCAACATTTGACATGTCTTGAGTGGAAGATATTCTTTTTTTAGACATTATCTCACTTTGAGATTTCCAGGTTTTTGAAAACAATGAAAAACATTGGCGAAACATTTTTAAATGAAAGAATTGCCTATTAAAATATTTGGCTGTCTGGGTCCATCTGTTTCCTATTAAACGGCAAATGCGCTCCAGGAGTGGCGTTGCTGCGTTATTGGGGTTCTAACAAACAAGGCATGACGGTTTAAGGAGAAATACACAAATGACAATATCTGGGCTTTACTGTCTGGTAACCTAATCTGTCCCTGATCACTGCCAGAAAAGTTCAGTCATCTTAACTTGAACTGCACATATGCAGCGTCGTGCATCATTAATGCTTCCTGTTTGCATTTTCCAGATACGGCCGCTTGTGATGATGATGAGATCAGGGTTTATGAAGTGAATCTCTGCAGAGAAGAATACAAAGAATGCCAACCGAAGGAAGAGTTTCCGCTTTAATTCCTCACAGGTGCTTGAGCGTAAAGCTTCACTTTGAACACACTGTAACATGTCTGTGGGTCACGACTTGCACTTTTCATTCTTTCCTGACAGTGTAATTTTTCAGCTTTTGCTCTCCAAAAACGCCATTAAACGCCTTCTCTGTTCAACCCCTCACATCAACTTTGTTTTTCCTCCAGCAGGTCTCCTCTCGTTCGCCATCACCTTGCTGACTCAGTGTCTTCTTGAAACTCCTCCAGCTTTCTATTCGACAGCGACAGGAAAGATAAAAGCCTGTTGGTAAAATGACCTTTCCGGGGACGCAGGCCGTACCCATTAGCAGCACATGTCAATATCAAAACAGCAAGAATAAAGCAAAAATGCTGGAACATCACGCTGCACGCACCACATCAAGAAGCAATAGTCACATAAATTCATGTTACGATTCTGCAATGTCTTCAGTGAATTGCTGCTTTTTATCTTCTTTGATTTATGTTATTGTGATGCTGAGGCTCGACATTAATTGTTTTACAGTACTTGGGTCAACACCTATTGGTTTTAAATATGTTCAGAAATACATTCCACTTCAGTTTCTATGACTAATTGGAAATTTTGCATACAAAAATGTCCTAAAATGTTTCACAACGTGAATGCACACATGTATAAATACATGGGTACCAACACAAATTCAGTATTATCTGTCAATTGAGATTCTCACAGAGCAGCAGTGACAACTGGGTGCAAGCCAAGGCAGATAAAATGTGCTTTAAGGAGGCTTTGTTGTGCTGAACAAACTGCTGAGTAAATACATCTATTAACTCCAAATGCAACTTGCGAATCAAATTTCAGTCTCGACTACAACAAACGCTTTAAGCTGCTTTGAGCAGCATGCAGAGGAAAGTGCAAAAATATCACTCTTCTGGTTTTTTTCTGGAATCAAAGTACTGCTGAGACTGCTTGTGTGCCTGAGAGTACATTCAGGCACACAAAGGAAACAGTGAGAAATGGTAAAAAAAAAAAGAAACAAAAGACACCCAAAAAAACTGAGGTTACAGAAAAAAAAGGGGACAAAAATTAAAGGTCATAACAATGAGCCTCCTAACCCCTCCCCCCATCTCATCTATGATTCCTCCTGTGGTCCAGTCCTGACAAAGAGTCTCAATGGCAGACACAGACCGGCTCAACCAAAACGATCATAGAAAGCCCAAGAAACCACAGGAATGCTCAGGAAAAGTACCCAGTCAGTGGGAAATTTAAAAATGTCTGCCTCCAACGTAGCAGGATTGGACTGCTGGCCTGGCGCAGACAAAAGCTCCCTGCTTCTCACCCATTTCTGGGAGCACGCTCACATTAAAAGTGCCTATCAAGCTTTCATGAGTTTACATGTTCGTAGTCTGAATCACCATCAGCTAAGCTGATTTTCATTTCGACTTTAGTCAGTCACTTCTGCTTTGGTTTCAGTAAAACCGGCCATTTACTGTTTTTACGCTCAGAAGGCAAATTAAGTGAAAATTACACACGAAGAGGCCAGCAGGATGCTTGTCTAGCATCACGACACCCTCACGCGATGACTGAGTTTTTTTGTGTGTTTGGTTTTGTTTTTCCTCCGTACCTTGAAATTGCTGGAGTTGATCCATCCTGTTAACTCGTCTACGGTCTTATCGAGCCGAGGCTTGTCCTGCTCCACGTCCGGGGAGCGATCTGGGTCGTTCAGGTAGTCTATGAGGTCCTGGCCGACCTGCAGTCTGCGTGTAACGTCCTTCTGCAGTACCTGCTGGTAAAAATACTCCATGTTGTCATGATCCTCCATCGGGCACCCGGTGCCGAGCGGCCAGCCAGTGAAGCCGGGCCAAAGATCGAGGACAACGGTCCAGTCGACGGGGTGTCGAGAGGCTGAAATGCGAACTGTAGTCCAGTCAAGGAGCAAGGGAGGAGTGCAGTCCAGGTAGTTTTCGACTCAAGTTTGATCATCAATGTCTGTTCGATTAAAGATGCCGTTTACTTTGGCACACACATCATCCCCCCAAAATAAACCAAAAAAATAAAAAATAAAACTCCACTTGATTTGTTGCGTTGAAGTTTTTTTTGTTTGCTTTTCTTGTTAAATACTTTCCTCAATAAAAGACCACAAAACTCAGCGAAACTTAATTAAACGCACAACTGCACCGAACCACGCTAAGCGTTCTCTGTACATCAGCATAACGCCAAGCCAAAAGTCGTTATTTACTATCTGTTATGCTAACAAAAATAGCACTTGGCTAGTTAGCGCCCATACAAATAGCTTCACGTAGGCTAGCTCAGCCTGCTAACGGCCTATCGCCGGACTCCACTCCGCTCTCCTATTTTCATGGCCACCGGCGCAAAAGTCTGTTAGGCTGCGATCCGGTCTGCGGGGAAGTTGTACCAAACTTCCGCAACTGAAATAATAACTCCACTCCTGCGTTAACCGATGCCGTTTCAGTCCAGAAGTATAGTAATCGTTGCTTGACGTGAACCCGCTCAGAGCTGCTGGGAGGCTGCGCGTTGCCGGGGACTGCAGTTAATCAGGGGGTGCGACCACCAATCCTTGATCACCGCACAGCTAGCCAACACGATGCCTGATGTAAAATGACAACAAAAAGGACTCGGACTGACTACTTACTTGATTTTATTTCGATAATAAAGGTAATAACAATTTAAAAAATACGTATAATTTTTTAAAGTAAATTCCTCGGGATAATTTTATTTCCAAATTCAAAAATTACACCTTATTTATGTGGGCGTGTCTTCTCGCAGCATGGCTCTTTGGTGACATCTAGATGCCGATCTGCCGCAGTTTTCTTCAGAACGGCCCCTCAGATGTAGAGATAAATTTTACTTATGTTTTACTTCTGGTCTTTTTTCTCTTCTTCTTTTTAGCCATTTTTAAATATAATATACATAACTTTACAATTGAGGAGATTTGTATACAGTGAAACATTTTCAGAATTAAAATGGTTATGGATTCAGGAATTAAATGTTTTCCATGCACATTATATTTAATAGATTTAGAAATTTTGAAAACAAATTCTCTAATTTTACAGATTGTGGAGGAACACTGGTTTCAATAAAGAGACAGGAATGGTTTACCATTAGTCATCTTTATTTGTTCATTTGTCTATTTTTTCATGTATTTCTTTATTTTTCTTAAACATAAAACTGTTAAAACTGTCAGAGGACATTAGTATTACAACCAGTCATGCCAGCTATGTATCAATCTAAATCTTAATCTTCCTTATTTTTAATATTTTATCCTTCCCACTGCCCTGCCTCTTTCCAAAACCTTTAAGCACTTGGCACTAGACAGCATTTACCAGTTTTTAGTGTAGCATTATCTCACAAGCTGGTTTCATTGTGTTGGAAACATTTTTAAGGGGCTGCATTTCCATCCTGGCAAGAATGTGAGATCCTGTTGATCTTAAGGCATACTAAGCAAATTAAACCAGCAATTTTAGGACTTTCCAGCAATCACATTTAACTTTGCTAGGTTTTGCATCTTCTGTAGTGACAACAGGAACTCTGTGTTAAATCTAATAAATTATTCTGATAAATTTCTTCAGAAGTATAGGATTCTATTCTTAATAAATATTAATGCACTGCTTAGCCACTGTAAACAGCTGAATGGAAAGTTATAAGCCAATTTATAACATCTCACAACAAAGGTAAAGTGACAGTAACATTGAACTAAACTAGAGAGACTTTCAAATAAATAAATTTATGTGATTGTCAAAAAACTTGAGGTGCCTTTGCTCAGTCTTGAAGCCAATCCTTTAGCTCTCTTCGTATTCAGTTTTGAAGCAGTTCCACCTACAAAAATCCTGATTGATATCCATATACACACAGCCATAAATCTGAATACTGGATGTCACAGTCCCCTTAACTGCGTGCCACAGTCATATATGTGTAATAAACTACTCAGACTCACTCCGAACAGTAATGGGGACTGGAAACCTTCCGATGTAAACAGGTTAGCCTCTCCTGCTAACCTTAATCTGAAATGTAAACAAATGCTTCAGTGTCAAGTAGGAGATAGTTCACAGGGCTTACTAACAGGATTGGACCAGGGCCTACAAGCCAGCAGAACCACACAGGTCACAACAGAGGTCACTCTTTCCAGAAGCAGTGTAACAAAACACATTTTGACCCTCAGGGTCTTGTCATAGGTCCTTCTTATTAAACAGCAACAGTTTTTACATTAAAAAGACAAGCATACGTCTCTTTCTGAATAGACAGCCATGGACACTTACAATAAGCACTGAAAAAAAGGAGTTGCAGTTGTTTGGCCTTTCCCCAGTTTTTGAGTGAGTTGCTGTGAAGCTCATATTTTTTTGTGTTGCAAAACATTCTCTGTACAAACAGAATCAAAATCAGAACAAAAAGTTTCCCAGATGCACAGGAAGGTCACATGTCTTCTTTTGTTGTACTTCCTGTTCGTCCCGAGTGCTCCACACTTCAGACTCAAGCTCCCTGTGCCGGTACTTGCACAAGATCTGCATTTCAGCCACATCCCGGCTCTCGTTTCTCACAGAGCTGCAAGTCTATTAGCTGAAGCAAAAAAAAAAAAAAAAAAAAAAAATCACAGGATGGTCACATAAAGGTGACATGTGACTGGCTGAGATGAAACTCTGGAGTTTGTAACTAGTCCAGGATGGAGAGAACATCTCTTCTCTTTTTTGTGTTTGAAAATAATGCATTTTGTTTTTGATGTTCCACTGCAGTCTGTTGCACCAAATGGTTGGATATCACACGGTGCGTGATTCATTATGAAGTGGAGAACCTGTTTTTGTCTTTGGAGGATGAAGGAGAGAACAAGACAGAAATGAAGAAAGTCCGTTCAATCATATCTCTTTCCTTCAACCTCTCCAATCCCCCTGCGCTGCTGCAGTGCTGACTGGCGAGCAGGAAGAGAGAGGAGGGGCGGCTTAAACAGATCAGGGATCAGTGGAGATCAGTGCATGTATTGATCTATGATCAGGAGCAGTGAGTGGGTCCAGCCACTCCCCTCTCCTTCACCGCCTACTCTAGCCCCCCTCTTCCTCCCTCCCTTCCACCCACCACCCCTTTGGAGCCCGTATCAAAGCAGCAGGACCTGTAGACAGAGGTGGCCCCCTCTGGCCCTCCATTGTCAGAGGATGATGCAGCAACGGCACAGACGCTGGCCGCCTCCATGCACAGAGGGGGGAGGCGTTACTGGGGCAAAGTATGCATGCACTTTGATATCCGGAAGCTGGGCCTGTGAAATAAATACATTTATTAGTTTGGTCACAAGTTTAAATCCACTTATCAGCATAAAGGTAATTTATTTGGAGCCTTTATTGTTGCCATGAGTTAATTTTATATTAGTTTCAGCTGTGAAAAAGTCCTCCCTCTTTCTTTTAAAGTTTCTGAAATTCGGAAAACACTTTGAATAGAATTTCGTTCCGGATGCTTTCTGTGATTAGTTCAGGGTCTTCATGATACCAATCAGCTTGAAGGGGCAGCATTACCTCGTATCTTTTCCTGTTTCCTCACTGACCACAGATCAGCTACAAATTAATTACAGTTCTAACCTCAACTTGCTCTTAGAAAATATGTTCTTGGTCCAGTACAATGGAAACCACATGCTCTATGCCCACCCACCTCATCATTAGATTTAGCTAATCTACACGGTGCATTGACTGCTGCTTCCAATCATTACCCGTCAAGTCAACAGTCTGACATATTACAGAAACAATACTGAGAGTTTATTTTTTTACTTTTATTTTATTCTGATTGTACAATGTTAAAATTGTGTGGACTGTAATTATGTAGCCGCTCTTTTCTGTCCCAAATTTTTTAACTCAGTTGACATAAAATTTGAAAGTATCACTTTATAATTATGTGTAATTGAAAGATTGGAAGATTAATACCTGAATACCAACTATAAAGTAAATAAAAATGAAAGCATTTAAAAAAAGACTTAAATAAATAATAGCAATTTTTAGCCTGGTGGGGGCACAAGTAAAGCCTGAAGACCCGCCAGGCTTATAAAAAAGATTTATGAGCTCGTCTGTGAAAACAAAACAAAAAAACAGTCCAAATAAATTCTACAAATTCTGTCTGTATGAGTGGAAAAACATCCAACCAAAGACATGACAAAGGCCGGTTAATGGCTAGAAAAAGTATGTGGTCAAGTATGACCTTGGTAAGAGAAATTTTCCCCAATAGCAGTGGGAGTGCAAGTACGCATTTCATTCCATATGTATACATTTTGACTTTGAATGGAAGAAAATATTCATAAACTAAAATTCTGCAATGGCAGACATGCTCATGATAACCGATCTGAACGGTATTAGCAGTAAGTAGAAGCTTTACATAAACTCACCTCTTACAATACTAACATGTTTCTACAGTGCTTTCTGTAAAATGTACACATTTCTACTGGGAATAAAAGATAAATAGCACAGGATGAGACTTGCTTGCATAGACAAAACACCCAGAAAGATTAACTGAATGATGTTGAATCTTGTTTGTCTTCTGTAAGGAACTATCAGCCCTAAAGCCCAACGTGAGATTAAATAAAAGGGGGATAACCTCAAAATCCTCATGCAACATTGACCCATCAGTAATTAACTGAAATGTTGATAGATGTTAATAATTATCCCACTAAATCCAGATATATAATTATTTTATTTCAGCTTGTTGAACTAAAGAAATTTTATTTGCCAGTTTGCCCTATTTACATTTATGAGCCTGTTTGTAAAATGTTACACTTTGTTGATTTTGAAAAATTATTTTCCGCACAAAATTAGAAGCCATGTAAAAATCCTTCTCACCCAGAAAACAATGCTGAAAACAAACCAGGATTAAACTAATCACAGCAAAATCCTTAAAGTGTAAATAAGCTGCATCCTTTTCACAATAAAAAAAGCAAAAACATGTGAATGAACATCTCTCTGTTTGTGCTGCTCACCCTGATGCGTTTGATGCCAGCCCTGGTGACTTGCTGGCAGTCGTAGAGTTCGATCCGTTCCAGACGGTGGCAGCTCTTGAGGTGCTCCAGGGTCACGTCAGTGATGAGGGGACAGTTGTCCAGCTCCACCACTGTGAGGCGCTCCTGGCCACAGGTGCTGTTGCTAAGAGCTCTGATCCCATCATCGGTGATCAGCTCACAGTGGGACAGGGACTGCCGAGGGCATGAGAGAACGGACGGAGACACATTGATATACAGCCAGGCTCAGAGGGTTCTGGTTCAAATCCAGACAGTTTACCAATGCTTGCAGCCGTGGGCAGTGGATTGACAGCTGAACCAAGGTGTTATCGGTCACCTGGGGGGAGGACAAGCTTGATTAGAAAATGTCTTCACATCTCCACACACAGCTGAGAGGCTGACATCTCAATGTGGAGTGATACGCTACAAGATAATGTGTTGCAGTGAATCTGTCTCTGTCTTGCTGGCTGCACTAAATAGTGACTTAAAGGGTATGCAAAATGAATACTAGAGAAAAAAAAACTGCTGTCCACGTAGTCATACTGCTCCAGTCTAACCTCTTCTCAGAACAGCCGATAAAGTAGGGGTGAGCGAGACCGACTTTGTATTTTGACACAATATCTTGAGGAACTACTTTGATAATGAATAGGCTTCTTCAGGACACCATTTACTGAAAGAAGCAAATATGCACACAGCTGCATATTTATTGATACTCTTGCAGAGTGAGAGGATTAATGTATCAACAGTGGAGAAAATTATAAAAATAACATTTTTATTTTGTGTTTTTATTTAACATCATTACGTAAAATTTGTCAAGACGACAATAAATCAAAATCCTTATGATGATAGAAACATTTTCACAAATAAGAAATACAGTAAATGCCACATATTCACTCACCAGAATACATTCTTCTAAGTCCATTTTTTCAAGCTCATGACAGTTCTGTGAAAAAAAAATGGATGGGTTGTTCAGAAGTAAATTCAAATAAATTTAGAAAAGGTAAGTGAAATGGATGATTGTCTTAAGACCCTTCATATTGATGTAAGACCTCATCCTGGTATCAACAATCAGCCGGAACGTGGATGATTGTTACGTATGGATGCAAAATGTACACATCGTACTGTCAAGAAAAAGTTCAGGCAATGTTTTTAGCTATGAGGACAAAGTATGAGGAGGAAAAGTCATGTGCTTTGTACCACAATCACACAACAGTCCCAATGCAACTCCAAAAAACAGCTTGAGAGCGTTGGTGTGATCAGATCCGTGATCAGGAGAAAATATACCAACTTTGAATGTTGTGAAATTCCATTAAACAACTTTTTGCACTCAGTAGTGCATAGTGTTCAACACATAAAGCCCTAGTAACCTTCTGCTGATAATCTGACAAATCAGTGGTGCTCATTTTCCTCACAGAGTAGCTACAACTAATGGTGGAGGTGCAGAAACCTACCATAAACACAAGTAAATTCCACACATTAAGAAGTAATAATGTCCAGCAGCAGTGTTGTCCAGAAAACCATGAGTATATCTTAATCTGATGTGAAAGAGATCGCTAAAGGAGTGGCCAGTAACACAAACTAATAAAACTCACCCTTGCAAGAACTGTGAACCCCACATCAGTAACAAGTGAACATCGCGCAGCCTCAAGGATTCTTGCAAAACAGAAAAAGTTCCAATAAGCAATTGGAGGCATGACAAATATGTCCATTAAAGAAATCTGTGACCAGGAGGGGGTACTGACACCATAAGCAATCATAAGCTTCAAATTCAAATTACAATCTTATGCATTTAGCTAATCCAGTTACGTTTAAAGTAATGCTACTTACTTGAGTTGAGGACAATTAAGTCCCAGTGCAGTCAGAGAGGCATCAGTGACATTACTGCAGCCAGATATGCAGAGGATCTGCAACTTGTGGCATCCCCGACACAAACTGACCAGGCCTTCATCTGTTATTTGCTGGTGGTGTCAGACAAAGAAACACAAGTTAGAAGAACATTCAGTCTCACAAACATTTCCCTCAGTTATCACTAATAGTTAGTTCATTCAATAAAACAGCCCTTACTGAAATGCTTGACTTACTGTGCAGGACTGCATATTGATGGTGGTCACATCAGGGCAGTGCTTCTGTAGGTGCTTCAATGCGCCATCGTCCAGCTGGATTATGGCAAACACATGATTAGTCACATCTGTTTCTATCATTTAGGTGTGCAATGTCACGTTTCTCAAAAGAAAAAAAAATACTTAAAAAATCTATCAAAATATATAAAAATGTATAAATTACAGAGATTAATAATGACCAGAAAGTGTGTAAAAAGGCACAAATCTTTCCAGCGGAATCTGTTATAATTTTTGTGAAGGGTGGAATTTCACATAATCAAAAATTAGGAATTATAAACAAAAATAGATTTAAGCCAAAAAGACCCAGAAATTTCTAGAAAAAAAAGAAAATTTATCAGTTAGAAAAGTCCAAAGTTTTAGACTTTTCAAACTCAGAAATGTCTTTTTTTTTTTAATTTTAGATTTTTTGCTGGAAATTTACTTCCTTTTTTCTAACACTCCAAAGTGGATATAAAATTTTATAACGGTAATTCATACAAACAACTACATAATAATGTACTGCAAAAAGAAACACAGCAGAAAAATTAAATAAGTTGTGTTTTACCTGTGTGCAGCCTCTGAGGAAAAGTGCTCGTAAACCAGTGCAACCTCTAGCCAGGGCCTCAATGCCGTCACGCGTGATCTGGTCACACCATGACAGATTTAACATCTCCAGCATTCTGCAGCCGTCGCTAAACAACAGCCACATGGAAACAAAAGAGGTATGAAAATCAAGGCACTTTGACAAACAGCAATTGCAAAACATTTAAGTGTGCAAGACCTGCAGATTTAAAAGCAGGGCTTAAGACCCACAAATACCTGAGGGCCTTGAGGGAGTGGTTGGTGACGGAGACGCAGGAGGTGAGATCTAACTGTTTGAGCTTGGAGCAAAACTTGCTGAGGCTGAGGCAGGTGCTGTCTGTGATCTTGGTGCAGCCGTTCAGGTTCAGCACTTCGATGTTTCTACAGTTCTGAGCAAATGTCCTGGGAAGCAGGACATTTGCAGGACAAGCGTTAGAAAGGAAATTTCTCAAGAACTGTTTCATTTTTTTAACTTAAAATTCAAATTGTGGGAGTCAATTCACACAGCCTGATGGGAACTCTTCTTCCACATTTTGCTCTTATTTGAAACTTTCAACCCTTAGCCATGTATTGAACATCTTCTTTAATGCATTTCAAAGGTTTTCATACCCTTTAAAGATGTTACAAACTAATGTGTTCATTTGGACTTTATGTGATATTGGAGAATAACTGAAAGCTTTAAGACTTTTTCATAAAAAATCTGAAATGTGTGCCATGCATTGTATCCACCCTGATATTTCTGAATAAAATCCAGAGCAACTTCTGCAGTTTTCAAAGATTTAAGTAGGTTAGAGACAAACAGGTTGAAGAAGTTTGTTTATTCAGACGGGACCAATGTTGAACTTTCTTTGACCCTCGTCTGAAAGGCCATCCTCATGGCAAAACAGGGTGGTGGCAGCCTCATAATGTGGGTTTGCTTTTCTTCAGCAGGAAGAGCACAGCTGGCTCCATTTTATGTGGAGGTGGCTAGAGTCAAAAATAAAGTGCATATTCACAAATTTCATTCTCCCAGTCAAAGTCCAGATCCAGATCCAACTGAAAATCTGTGTCAAAACTAGTATTTCTATTTACAATGTTCAAAACCACCTGAGCCATTTTGTAAAAAAAAAAAAAAAAACAATGAGGAAAGATTTCAGTCTCTGAATGTCAAAAGCTGGTGGAGACATATCCAGAAAGACTGACAGCTGCACAAAGATGAACCACATTTTTTCTTCTTATTTATAAAACACTTGGAAGATATACTTTTGTTGGTCTGCCACAATCCTACAATTGCATGACAAATAACTGAAATACATGGCAAAATATGTGAGGAAATTAGAAAGAGTTCAAGGAGTAGGAACATTTTTGTGAACCTGCTTTTACAGAAGCAATAGAGCCCATCATACAAAAGAACTGTATAACAAGAGGTTGTTTTTTTCTTCTTTTTTTTAGTGGGTACAAAGTAAACTAGGATGAAATGTAAATAAATGAGCTCCCAGTAGAGTCCCCACGGAATGAAGAAGTACAAGCTGCTTAAACTTATAATCACATAAGCAATAGCAGCAAGTAAACAAACCAACAAGAGAATGAGTTTTTCCTTTATTGAAAAAAAAAAATCAAAGCTGAAGTACACTCATCTAATCAGTGTGTGCCAGAGACAATGGAAATCTCACTTCATAGAAGCATCTCCAACGCTCAGGCAGCCCCTGAGGCTAAGCTGCCTCAGGAAGCCTCCACAACGCTTCGAAATGTTTTCTACCACACGGCCCTGAGGACACAAGGCCAAACAGAGAGAGAGAGAGCAATGTGAGTGGGCAACAGGACAGTGGATCAGCTGAGACGTCACAGTCCACACCAAAGCCTACTGACCCAGAACTAAGCCTTCGACCGGGTAATGCTACTCAACCAACACTCACATTTACACATGCAGCGAATGCATTACTGTCCACTTTATCACCTTCACCATCAGAAACACAGGACTCACTTCTATGTCAGTCTGGAAGTTGAACAAGTCGATCTTCTGCCAGTTGCTGCCATCTAGAGCCAGGACGTTCCACGCCTGAGAGGGGGACACCAGAAACGGACAGGGAAGTGGGTCAGACAGAGGTGGAGAGGGGAGACAGGCGTTTCCTGGAGCACGAGGGAAGCTGGTAGAGAGCCAGCCTAATGGCAAACTCATGAAACTCAGCATCAATACATTAAATACAATTTACTAATAATCTTTATAAATGTGAATATTTCTATTCACATTTATATTGAATAGAATATTCAATATAATACTTCTATTCACAATTATTGACCATTAATACTTTAATGGTCAATTTTATTCCCTTTGGATACCCATATGGCCAAAGCAAATGACTATAAACAGTATTTATTTTTTTTTTTTAATAAACTTGATAGTTAAAATATGACAAACGCAATATGAGAAATAAAGTAAAAATAAACTGCAAGAATAATTTTAAAAATATATTTTTTTTATGTATAGATAAATCAAAATTATTACCATTTTATTAGCAAAAGTTAAGATTAAATCCAATTTGTGTACCTAAACACATAATGTATACACATTTACATCAATATCTACGTAAGAGACATCAATGATAAATTGAAAGTACTTTAAGAAAATTGAACTCGAATGTCCAAAAAATACTTCAATAACTGGAATTCAGTTGTGATCTACTTTTTCTAATTTTAGTTCCTCAGTAAATATTTCTCTAAACTCTGGGAAGGTCATTCTAAAAGTGCAGATGATGTTAATCACTCTTTACTAACTGTGACAAGACGTCCAATACCCTGAATAATTGAACCACAATCAGTCCAAATAAGAATAAAAGGCAGCATAAAGCCATGACACTGAAAATAATCTGGAGGTGTTGAGAAAATTGTACAGTTTTCTTCCTGTTCTTATGACCTCTGAGTCAGGTTACGTTGTCACTTTGAGATCAGCAGCAAAAGCAGTGAGGACTGACTTATAATGTTACAAGAGGAACACCGGCAGCTCCAGGAAAAGAAACGTATCCCTGTGCAGAATTGAACTTTAGTGGGGGATTTTTTGATAGATGATTCAGTTCTAAACAGTTTTTAGTTCTTCATAGACTATTGCACTGTTATTTTGCTTAAGGCCAGCAGAGGGCACTTTATTATTAACACTAAAAGGAAATTCAATACCGGTCAGAGTTTAAATCGGATCAAAGATGTCATTTAAAAAATATATTCAGAAGTGCTAGTGGGTACATTAGCATAAAGTTTTGAAAAATTGTGCTTACCTTTGACACCTGTGCACATCTGCAGAGTGTAACCACGTCTAAATAGGAAAATATTCTGGAAAGAGAAACAAAATCTTTATCTTAACTTTGACAATGTTCACAGCTGTTTCTATGGTTCAATGCATTTTCTCTGCTGTGTCATTAAACTCTTTTTTTTAATCCTCTCTTCAGCTGACACATTTACTGGCAATGTAATCACAGCTAGGTCCTGATGTATGGATTTTATTACAATTTTATAAAATGCAAAGTTTTAAAGGAAAGCAAAGAACAAGAAGAAAAATTTAATCTAATTTCTCCCCCTCTGATGACATCACATGAGGCACAAGAATCAAGATTTGGTCAGCAGTCATTACAATACAATATAGCAAGTAATTAGTTGCCTTATGCCTTTTGTGTTGTCACCAGAGAAATTGGCATCTGGAAGCTTAGATTTAATCTTGAATAAATAATATCTTACAATATAAAAACAACAGATATCAGACATGTTCTATAGATACTAGTTTGACTTATTTCACATACAAGTCTGACAAGTGGCTTTAAAATAAGGGGTAATCTGTGAGATTGGCAGCAGTGTTTGAGCTGAGGGCCGGTCCGCCACAAAGGGCCGCATGCAGCCGGGCTACTGGGTCAGCTCAATCCATTAATCTGCCAATGAGTAATCTCTGGCACTCAGACAAGCTGGGCCACAGACATCCAAACATACAGTACATGCAAATACATGAGGATCCAAATGAGCCTCAAACACAAACATGAATGCGTTTGCCGTCCCAGTTGCCCGTAATGAAACTACTTGTTCCTTCTCATAGAAGCTGTTTCAAATGAAGCATGTATAGAAAATATAGTTTTAAAAGATTGTCACGGTGCCAAGGTTTAAAGTACATCTGTCGTGCGAATGTCCTTTTAAACCCTGTGAACATGAGCTGTCTGTCCATTGTTTTCCTCTCTTTACCCAGACAGAGGCGGTGTGTTTTGAGGCGTGTTGGGTCGGGACATGTTCAGACATGTCCATGTATTCTATACCAGAGTTTAGGACCACACAAACAGTATGGCATTTCTCAGAGTTCACAGACAGCACATGCACACTTCCACGCACACACCACCGTACAGGAACACACAATCAGGAACACACTGCGGCTGACCAATCAAGTTCTCGCTCCTCGATCCCCTTTCTAATAACTGGTTAATGGCCATGACACTGATTATTGATAGACTGTCTGTTTTAATCAAATACAATCCAACTTTCTATTAAGTGTGCCAGAGAGGCTTTTTACCACCCACAGAATTCAGTTTCTAAACACTCAAATGAAAATCAATCAGATGCATAGAAAATTGTTTGTTGTCCCAGCCGTTCTAAGATGTGCAAAATGGAAAACGTTTATGTGTAATTTAATATTATCTCAAAATGAATCCAGCAATCAGCCCAACATATTGAAGAATGTGACTGCAGAGCTGCACGATACTTCAGCTGGAGTTGTCATCACATCATCAGTTTGCAACAGATGATTATATTTTATGTACATGTAAGGCACTTGTGTCAAACTCAAGGCCCAGGGGCCTCATCTGGTCCACCACAGCTTCTTATGTGGCTCGCTAGCCTCTAAAGGGACACATAAATGTCCCTTTAGACACATAAATGTCCTTTTAGGGGACTGCTTATCTATTGAAGCAGACAAGATAACGGTCTGCTTAAATACTATTTTATCAATCAATTCAAAGCAGTTTTTATCAGTGTACAAATTGCGTCAATCAGTCCTTCCGGTTTCTTGTGAATTATTGTGAAAATGTATGCAAAAAATCAACAAATCCCTGCACTTTTTTGTGCCAATCCATAAGTGTGAGTCCATTGCAGATTTTCCGCAAAAATTGTGAAAAATTTTGGGTCCAAGTGATAGTTTACTCCCACCTGCAGGTGGCAGTATTTTTTACTTCTACTAAACAGCTTTATCTAATGTTGAGTTGTAATCCACAATGATATGGCGAGTGATAAAAAGTCACATTTACCATCATAGAGAAGTGCAAATATTTCTAAATTACGACTGCAAACACTTTTTTAAATCACTGCAAAGTGATTTGCAAAAGAAAAATCACAAAATCATGGAGGAACTGAAAAGTTCAATATTATGCAAGTTTAACAATTTATTTCTATTTTAACAGTTTGGCGGTTTTGATCAGTACATTCTGGCACCACTGGCCCTTAAAAGTATTCATGATCTCGATTTGACCCAAAAGAAAAATGAATTTGACACCCCTGGTGTAAATCAGTTAGCATGATTTTTGACTTCCCTTAATGGCCACTTGTCAGACAGTTTGGTGCATCATGTGACTAGTTGGATTTAAAAAAAAAAAAAAAAAAAACATGACTGAAAAATGTGCATAAAACAAAAACCAATACTGTTGCAACTTTCAGAAGTTAAATGGCAATTTTATGTTGCACAGGCTTCAAGAAAATGTGAAAAATGTCAGCAGTTATACTGCATTGTGTGACAGTTACAATTTCTTAAAGGAGACATGACAGAAAGGGGAGGGAGTCAAAACACAGCGCAGCTAAATTCAGAGGCATAACACCCTGACATCTTTAATAATAGGTTTTCTACCTGAATACACGTAAGAAAGCACTAATCCACAGATTCAATGTGAGAAATAAGCTAATAGTCTTTGATTGCTCTGTCAAATCCTTCCCTTTTTCTCCAGACAGGATTTTAATAGTGTACAGTGATGAAAAAATTAACATCTGACCCTTGAAGCGTTGGCAAGGTAAGAGCTAGTCCAGCTTTCGGCACAGTTTGAGGCTGGTTGCCACAGTAACAGCTCAGACATAAATTTGGGTGCTGCTGGTGGGGAGCCTGCTGAGTCAGCCCTTCTGAGTAAGGAGACCCTGAACGGCTCCAAACTCTCTCCATCAGACATAGTTCTTGTATATCACAGCTGTTTTTCACAGTTTATATGCACAGCGAGCCGGCCTACATAACAGCTGAATATCATGCACCAGCTGAGAGGCAGGAGGACAAGAAAACAAAGCGGAGGACTCAGGAACATCCACAGAGATAGGTTACACATGAGCACAAACACCAAAAACAAGAGCAATTAGTCAGATTAACAAACTCGTATGAAATTTTGGTACTACAGTAACCAAAATACAGCACATGAATGAAATATTACAAACAGAGTGTCTGTCATAAAGCAGCAAACTAATAAACCTCCTCTGACCTGAGCAGAGGGTTTTAATTCAGACCTTCAGCTGTGTCTTCATTAAATGATAGCCTGAAAACTGCAAGCTATTATGATAATCAAATTATTACCCGAGCCAATATTCAGGAAAAACTACCCAATGTTCTGTGGAGACGTTGTTCCTCATATCATGTATATTGGGTTTTGGACTGCTGACTGAAAAATAAAAGCGATGCGAATAATTTCCTCGAGTCCCTAGGTGTTTTCAGGACAAAACAACAACAACAAAGCAGATTAAATAAGAATCTTGTGTTTCCTAACAAATGCTTAGAGACGATAAAAACCTCTGGCCCTCGAATTTAATTAGCATGAGCGTGAGGTACGTTCCCTGGTTCATTATGCAGTTGATCTTGAATATGACACCCCTTGTGATGCTAAAAAGTGGAGTTATCCAATCCAGGTTTATTTATGTACACATTAAATCGTCACACAGGACTGAAGGATAAATCAATCTAAAACCACCTTTAATATTCTATATAACCCCACTTTTATAATTTTGCCTTTCAGTCTTCTTTCTTTTGAGTTTATTAGCATGTCACTTGGAATAGAACAGAATTCAACTTTATTGTCATTGCACAGCTCATAAGTAAAAATCAACAAAATGCAGTTTTGCATTTAAGTTTTTGTTTGATAATTTGATGTGTCTACCTGATGAGGATCAGAGGTTTCCTTACTAGGCCATTACAGATCTTGAGCTTTCTTCTGGTAGAACCAATCCTTATTTGACTTAAATCAGTTCCATCACAAGAAAAGTAACCATTTGTTTTCTTCTTGTGACTAATAGTGCTGCTTTTGTGTCAAATGCAATTTCTAAGACTGTGACATAAAAGTTTTAGTTTTATTCGGCCATCACCTTTCGCCCACAAGGAATTAACGTGTTTCTGAAATCCAAGTGAATCAAGCTTCTAATATAATCAATAATTCAGAGTTTAACCTCAGAGTTTGAACAACGTTTTGATGAGACTACTCCCTGATGTCATTCAAAAATGCTTTTGTCCTTTGAAGTTAAACTATTCGACAGGGCCACATTCACACATCACTGGTATGAATGTCATAGTTGCTTAAGGAATTTGGAGCATTTGAACCCTTGTTTTGTTTTACAGAGTGAAACTATGATAAAACAACTTCAATGGATAAAAAAAAATCGAATTGGGCGCACAAGAATTTATAGTATGTGGATACACTCCCTGTAATTGGACAAACGTTCTTTAACAAATTACACATCATTAAACATCCTGTTGAATCGTTGTTTTAACAATGTGATCCAAGCCGTCACCCTCAAAGAAAGGAAAGCTGGTTGGAATAATAGGAAACAACAAAGGAACCACTAAGGCGCAAGCCTCTCATTAAGTGAAAGACACTCCAGCGCCAGAGTCTGCAGCAATTTTAACATCAAAATGGAGTCACTATAACAAAATAAACACCTTCAAGCTCAACTCAAATTTTTAGCAACCACTATGGACAAGCTACGTACCTTCTGGAGAAAGATTTTATCACACAATGAGATGTTTGAATACACTGGATTTATAAACACAAAAGTGCGTGGAATGGCCTCCATAATAGTGTATACAAGCTGCGTCAGTGCCAGGAAATCAACCGATTTAATTAATGACCTCTCCCAACTAATCCTGATAGAGAGAGCAGTCAAATATTCAAAGTTTGACATTACAATCTGTGGTGAGAAGGATTCATCTGAAGACTTTTACTAAACAGCAGACGTCTGCACCATCATCTGATCTTCTGGACCTGTTCATGAACAGGGAATGGTGAGCTGTTCTGGTCTTTATGGGCCGGTATTCTGTACATTAGTTGTCTCAAATGCCTGTCTTAAAGGGCTGTCGTTCTTCAACTTTTAGATGTCTTTCTGCTGCAGCACACCTGGTTCTAGTACTAGCTCATTACCATGCAGTCGTATAGCTCAACTGCAAGCTAGTAATGCAGTTTTGGCATTTAATTTAAGTATGTAGGACAAGGGACACATCTACAAGTTACAAAACCTTGAGAACTGCATTTTGAGACAACTACTATACATTTTAGATATATTCCTGCTGGAACATGCCTAAAAACAGATGATTTTGTCATCATCAGGCTCTTGCAAAAGACCTACAAAACATTATATCCTATCTCTCAAGGACTAAAATTGCCACGTTTTATTGTATGTTTAGAAGAGTATGAGGTTTAAAGCTCAAAAGGACAAAATTTGAGATTTCTTTCCTCAGTGAGAATGTTGACACCAAAGAGTGTTGTTATAAAAACACTCTGGTAATCCCTACATATGATGGGTTTGGAAAAGGGAGTCATGGTATTTTTTTACTTTAAATCTTTTATTACTTTACTTTAAATAGGGCAAAGTTCACCAAAATTGGACTTCCAAGCCTCCCAGATGGCTAATTTTCTAATAAATCCCCTCAACCACCACCAGGAGGAAACAGGAGGTGGGAGAGGATTTAATATGGAAAATTTAGGTGGAGTTACTACAGGGACATGGGAGAGGACTTAATAGGGCAAAGTTCACCAAAATTGGACTTTTAAGCCACCCAGATGGCTAATTTTCAAATAAATCTCCTCATCTACCATCAGGGGACATCGGGATATGGGAGAGGATTTAATATGGGAAATTTGGGTGGAGTGACTACAGGGACATGGGACAGGACTTAATAGGGCAAAGTTCACCAAAATTTGACTTCTGCGACATGATCTATCCCATACGGCACATACAAATTAGCCTGGGAAGATGAGCACATGTGAGGCCGTGCATAATGCCAGATTTATGGAGCGTGTGCAGCTGGTGTGTAACAAAATGTTGGTCTGTGGGTCACACATTCAAACATGTCAAGGCAAGGAGTTGATGTACATCACACAGGCTAACGGCTGATTCAGCTAATGAATAACCCTGACCTAAGACTTCAGTGAAGGGCAATTTGTGTCGTGTTGTGGGTGAGCGATTGCGTTACTGCTGTGTTTTCAACCCTACCTGAGAAGAAGCTCTTTTGGGAGCTTCTTGTTAATTGGTGCTTCATCGCTGTTTGAGAACACCTGCAGAGACACAAGATAAATAGCAATAATGGTGAGAGGATTGCATGTTTTAAAAGCTCGTAAAAATGTGAGCGAATCTGTGTCCGGCCAGCGTATGAACAGGCAACAACCACAACCGTTTAAGGTTTTATTGATGTCAAACATGAGCAGAAACAGAGCCCAACAACTTGTTTACATTAGTCATCCAAAACTGAGCGAACACATTTTTGATTTATACTAATAAACACACCAGAGACACATTTGGGTTCTCATGTCCCCTCCTTGCAACATTATAATTCTGTCAGCCTGGTCAGCTTGTTGGCATGCTTATCTCAATTAGCCTACTCGCTGGATGTCTGGCCATCTGCTGAGCGGCACACACATACACACGTATGCCTGGACACACTCATAGGTTATTAAAGCCCGACCGTTCTGGGTGAAGAACAGTTTCAGAACGTTCCCAAACGAGCTGGGCTATGAATTCAGATTAGGGCAAACACCCGCAATCACACAGCCTCTGCAGGCACACGCACATCCTGTCAGTGACACGCTTGGAGCCTAAAGGAGTCAGCAAGTGTATCTAACGTGGAGGACTCCCTGCTGTGTCACATGCAAACAGGAAAACAAAGGGAAGGGGAGTGATTGCTGTGCAGGATGAGCAGGCATAACCTCTTTGAAACAGAAAGCAGTCCAAAAGGACGGAGATGACTAAAAGGGGAAGTAAAGATCAGACGACAGAAAGCTGAACTAGAGTGAAAGACCAGAAAAGAAAACAGAAATAGATATTATTTGTTAAAAACCACAATGTAAAAGAAGAACCAGGAGACAGAGTTTAAGAGCTTCAGAGGTAGAAGAGACAAAAGAGGGAGAGAGTTTTTCAGCAAAATATTAACCAAACTGGTTTGAATGTTAACGGCTCTGCTATGGTTACAGCAACATAGACAAAGCTGCTTGAAATGTGTAAGTGCACCTACAATGTTTCATCACAGCTCACACCTCTGACACATATTCTATGACTAAAACACATCATTACATTGAATTTAAGCATCAACCACTGCAGTGTGCCAATTTAAAGCTTTTTAGATCACTTCAAGCTCCTTCCTTACAGAAAAGTTTGCTTGTTGTTATGATGTCAGAAGTTTTAGTTTAACTTGACTGGAAAACACTGGAAAGCCAGAAATGCTCCTAAACCTCGATGTTTTTAAAAATTTAGTCAGGAGAAAGGCAAAAAAATATATATATAAAAGTGTTTTTTTTTTCTTTTCAGAATTTTGTGACAGACCAAAACAAAGTATCACATAGCAGAAGTGGAAAGGAAAATTATATACAGTTTTTAAAGGTCTCTGCAAAAAGAAAGATCAGACAAAAGTGAAACGTATTCAGAACATTTTCTCGGTCACCCCTGAAAAAAACTGCAGCCAAATGCAACTTTTAGATGTCACATAATTAATAATCAAGCTCCAATGACGTGGACAGGAACACAGCAGGGAGGTATGTGAGAAAGTTGTGGAGAAGTTTGAAGCGGTGTTATGTAAGTGCAAAACTTACACTTTCCGAATTCACTTATAATTATATGACAACAGAAAACAAAGTAGTTGATTTTTGGCAGGGAAGCAGAGGTTATTCATATTACATTAAGTAGAATATAACCTATATAAAACTTAAGAATGATGCAAAGTAGTTAATAAAATGAGTAATTAAATTAAAATATTAAGAATCCAGTATCTAGATTACTTTATTGATGTCACCATTGCTACAACATGGCTTTAACAATCAATTACAGCAGGTTTCTGTACAATCACTCCACAGGTGGTTTAGGTGTTGAGTATTATTCTGTCAAATATCTGAACATGAAAAGAAAGTAGAAAAGCTGCCTAATCTGTTCACCTAAAGCTGACATCCTGGGCAAAGTGAGCATTAATCCAACAACCCGCCAACAGACTTACAGTAACTCTGGATGAGATGCCAAGAGCCATAACTCAGATGAGAGACTATAATCTAATTTTCACCCAAAAATCTGTACTTCATCAAATATTTGGAAGAAGAAAACCACTGCTGGAAGAAAGCTTTTATGTATCCTATTTTACGTTCTCCATAAGCCATGTAGGGAAAACAGCAAAGATGTGGAAGAAGTTTTAGTTATCTGGGCAGATAACACCAAAATTGTTTTTGTTTTCTCCCCTATCTACATCTAAAAACAAACATTGTACATTGCCAAAAACACACCATGTTTTCAGGAGCTGGCTGGACTTCATGAGAAGAATAGATGAATATAGGGCAACAACCTCAAACATCAAGCCAGCGCTACAATGGAGGAGTTTACCATGATTGAGGATCAGTGGCAAGACTTGAAAATTGATATTCACAAAAGCTCTTCATCCAGTCTGACATATCTTGAACTATTTTGGAAAAGAACAGTTGAGTGCGCTCGTTTGGTACTTGCAGAAATGAGTGTCTATGATGTGTTGAATTGAGGGGATAGAATACAAAAGCATCCCACTCTTTTTGTAAAAAATATTTGAAAACCCATGTATCACTTTCCTTCCACTTGGAGAAAGTGTGCCAGTTTGTTTTAGCTGAATAAATCACACTGCGATCTGTGAAGTACACTGTATATCACTTTTGGCAGTTGGTCTTGAAATGTTTTCAAAACCCTAAAAATCCACCAGTGGCGATGATAAACAAAGCACACACAACTCTTTCCCTAAGGTATTACAGATGATAAATTTCAAAATAGAAGCTGGAACCTTTGAGTCTTTTGACAATGGATACTCTAAAATCTTTCAGGAATTGATAGTCCCAAAAAGCACAGAACCAGTTGAAACATTTTGTAAAACAGAAAAGCAAAAGCAGAATGGTCTTCAAAAAGGTCTGAATAATGAGATCCAGAGGACCTTAATGGAAAATGAGTCAGACTTTTATGACACAGATGCAAGACAAAAGTCATAAGATGATTAAAGGTTCATGGCAGCCTGCTGAGAGGAAGCAATTTGCCTTCTAAACAACTCTTCTTGTAGTTAGGAGCAAACTCTCGTCAGATTGAATAAAGATTAAACGATACGATCCCGTTTCCTCCAGCATCTGCAGAGGAAAATGTGCTGCTCAGAACCATCTTATAATTACCATCTTTGCGGTCTGAAATGGTGATGGCAGCAAGGTAGAGATGCAGCTTTTTGGGGAAACGTCAGGAGTGATCCAGCCTTATTCTGGAACACCACAGTACTAAGGTGCACAAGGACGCATACCGCCCCTTGCAACTAATCCACATATATTTTCAATAAACAACTCTATAAGTATTTCATAATCTAAAGGAGAAATTATGTTGCCACTGCTACAAGTTCTTTACCTGAATGCTCCAAAAACAAAAGTAAATTGTGTTTAATAAGTTTTAAAGCTTGTTTGTCATATGACAAAACGTGGAAGCTGTGAATCTTTTAAATAAAAAAACAGGAAAGTCCTGAACCTGTCAACAAGGAACATACTGATACAATGTTTAAAAAAGAAGACTCAAGCTAAAACCACCTCTGAAACATGTCACTCATCTTTTACTTCAGCTTAGAAACTGAACATTTTATTGAGTTTATTTTATTTGTGCACAACTGGTTCGCAACAAATGACCTCTAAAAGCACTTAAACTAAAAAGATCCGATTTATATACAGAAGTGCACTGTAAAGTCAGTCCAATCATGCAGAAAGGTTCAAATTTAATGACGTGCATTCCAAGTAGATTCTAGACGGAAAACATTGCAGATAATTTCCGTTTATTATGACAATAGATAAAATATTTCTATCTACTGAAATGCAACCAACTGTACTGAGGCACATGTGTGTCATGCTGAGCACACATGTGATAGCAGCAGAGAGGAAAGGCCACATACACTAAATAACAACAAGATAAGGAAAGAATTAGTCGATTTACAGGCCTAACTCCCAAATAAATTCTTCATGCAATGCGTCTCAATTTTAAAAGGATTTAAAAGCAAATTCCTAAAATAAAACCAAAGAGAAACACAGAAAATCACAATGAATCAACAGACAAAAGAAACTTGATTACAAGTTTTGAATGGAGACTTTAAAATCTACATTCGAAGCTGATTCTGGAGCAGATAAACCTCAGCAACTGGTTCTTTTATGATGACAGCAGTGCAGCTTCCCTAAGCGGTGAGGTGGCGTTCCTGTTCCTAGAGAGCTTGCAGCAAACTTGGACAGCCTGAAATTTTCTTTAACCAAATAAAAACTGCTTCAAAGAAATTACAGTTATACTATGTCAATAACGGAGCCTTTTTGTAAAACCGACAACAAAATATCTCAGGTTTCTAATAGTGAGCTTAGTTAGCGTGAGCTTTCCTCGCCAGCCCACAGTTTGTTTGTTTTTTTCACAATATATTGGTTTTCATGCAAGAACACCAACAAGTTCTGATTCACTCACACTAAGTATGTGAGCACACCCAGAAAGTCAAGTACCATCAAGTCAAACCCTAAAGAATCTCAGCAATGTGTGAACATCAGATAAACGGTGCTCAGCGCCCATCGAACTGGGTGATATTAGGACCGAGTCCGCTGTGAAGTCAAATGTTGAAAGACCAAAGTGTTTTATTCCTGTTAGGAATAAGAGCTTGTGCTTTGAACTGCTTCCCTGTAACAGTGGATTTTTGTGTAGCTAATGAAAAAAAAAACACTCAGTGTGTTTAATGAAGCTTGTCATGGAGTCATTGTTCTTAAAGTCTGCAGCCAGCCATGGATTTAACAAAGGAGTTTGTAAACTAGTTTAAATACACCATTCGACTTCACACTGACATGTCATTGGCTGTGACAGCTCCTCTGTCACGGCTTATTTACAGCAGACAGTGCCGAGACTGTAAATATCACTCATAAAATACTGAGCCAAGATCAAAGCTGATCAGGCCCAGAGTTTCCATAAAAACTCTCCCTTATCTGGCTTGCATTTATGCAAGCCAGATAAGCTGCGCAGAGCTGCGCAGTTCGTCGCATGGTTGTCAAATCCAAGGCTGGGATCTTTCTGCATGTAGTTGCATGTTCTCCACATTAATTGTAAGTTTAGACAATGGATGGATGTATAAACTGAGGAGTATTACATTTGTCTAACTCATTCGGTAGGGTGATAATGCTTTCAGTGTAGAGTTGTCAGAGTTATTAAAAAAGAGCCAAGTTGAACTGATTGTGGTTACAAGCAACAAAAAAAACCAACAATTTGGCAAATATTTGAGATTGCTTTACTGGAAAACTGATTAAACTAGCAGTGTTTAATGGTGCATTCAAACTGTCTCTGTTTAGACGCCTTAATAGAACTCTAGATCGTTCACCAAGAAAGTCTTGCTTGTTTGGGGAGGTGCGAATGTGTAACTTAGGTCTCAGTTCGCTTTAAGTGAACTCTGGCGCAGTTCAAATGCCTATGTGAATGCTAAGTGGACCAGAGACTGCTCCAAATGTAGGAAACAGACTAATGCGCAGGGCATTCAGGGAAAATAAAACCAAAACAAACGGTGGTAGGAGAAATGCCTCCTTATTTTTTTTTTGCCAAACACACAAGAGAAATCCTACAACCCCTAAAATCTGACACCACTTTATTTTTGTTTTCATTTCATGAGGGAAGGCCCTTGTGCTCAGTGTCTTGATCATTTCCTTAAGTAGTTCTTGGTGCAGCACTGTCATAGCTGGTAGGCAGGTTTTCCAAAGTGTGTCGTTTGTCAAGACACTGTGTAGAGCAAAATCAAGCCTCACAAGCTGAAACTGTAACAGATGTTGTCACTTTTGTCCCAAATCAAACCCAGTCCACCGTACCATCAGGTGTGAAAACACCCCAACAGATTTTTGAAAATCCAAATTAAACCTTGAATTTAAATGAAATTGACATTTGTAGAAATAATCTATGCTATGTGAGAACTGAAGAGCTCTTGGGGGCCCCCTGCTGGCCTCAGGGGATTATAAGCAACAGCTTAGTTTGCTCATACCTTGGCCAGGCTCAGGCCCTCATGTGAGGTATGTCTTATTTCTGGGAGGGGGTAGGGGGCTATTGGGGTAATCCAGCCCGCGCCTTCTGCCCTATCTGAGTGAAAACTATACAAACGCTGCAGCCCACTCTGAAAGCCTGTAACCTCAGGCGACAGACCCTGATATATTGACTGTACACTCAGCCACAGCCCAGCTGTCTGTCCAAGCAGTCCCCTGCTCCGTGTTTTCATTGTCTGCTGCTGGTGCGGGAGGACAACAACAGGATTTCGGATTACCCTTGACCAACAAAACGCCTCAGCTCCTGACTGCGTGTACAAATTAGGAGCAAAACCCCACGCACACACGCGCGCGCACGCACGCGCTCAAACACAGTTTGCTTATTATACAAGACTCCCCACTGGAGACAAACAGTTTAACCGCTGGTGGTCCACTCCCTGACCGTGTCATTACCTCGAACCGGCTCTTGGTGATACCGTTCATGTCTGCGGCGGTACCTTCCTGCGACAGGCAGAACCAGCGGAGCCGCTTCCACGGCCGATTTTGTCGCCGTTTTATTTTTGGGAGCGTAGGAGCCGAGCCTGAAGCTGGGTCTTCACAACCTCCTCCTCCTTCTCCTCCTCCTCTGGCCCCCAGCCGCCAGCGAGGCTCCTGTCTCCGGGTCAGTGAGGAGGCGGCAGCGGTGGTGGTGGAGGTGGCGAGGCGTGGCGTGGGTCCGGAGCTGCCTGCGGTACCGTGAACGCTCGCTGTCTCGGAGAGCGAACGGCTCCCCAGCACGTCTCATCACAGGGCTACCAAAATAACAATAATAACATGGACGGTTCTGTCAAGTGACTTCACTTCCGCCTCTCCCCTCATCGTCGCGTCCCAGAACCAGTCAGCTGCGCGCACCGACACCGCGGAAAAAAGCACTCGGTGAATGGGAGATTAACGCCCGTCGCTAACGCCCCATCGCTCATTTCTCACGTCGAGCTCCGTTACGGCGGAAGACACGAGCGCCTCGCTCGCTCTCTTCTGTTTACTTGCGGGGGGAAGGGGAGGGGCGACGTGACGTCATTGATGCGGGAAAAGCACGCGTGGTCGATTTGTTTTGATTGTGAGGGCCTCCCGGGGCCCGTTTCTTCACGGGACGAAGAGTTGGGTGGAGCAGAAACTGTCTGCGAGGAAAGCAGTGATGAATTTGTGCCGTTTCATTTCTGGAAACATCCAGCTCAAAACTGCTTCTTTTGTTTTTTTGATGTCTGAAAAAGAAAATGACCACAAGTCCATGAGTGCAGTTGAAAGACAAAATTAACCCTATTCATTTCCTTAGGCGCACAAGTACTTTTTGTTTCGCAGTTTAAAACTGTTTCCTCACAGTCAAAACGAATATTGACTATTAATTACCTCGCGGAAAGTTAGAGTTGTCTCAGAAACTAGACAATTGTAGCCGTTGTTTCACACTTTACAGCCATAAAAAAACCAAATGACTGTGGCTTTTATTTCATTTTTGTCCTAAGAGAGTTAAACTTCCATTTTATTTGTAAGATTTGTAAGATTTTATGTGTTAGATCATCACAGAAAATGATCTGTGAATTGAATGGAAATCCTATTTTCAATATTATTTTACATACAAAATGCTATTGTCTCACATTCGTGAGATAAAATTAGGGGTACATATGCACCCCTAATTTGATATTTAGGGGTATCAAATTAAATACATATGCACTCCTGTGCATATGTAAATAAATCCTAAATAAATCTCGAGCTTACATCAAACATCATAAAGACCAAGGCATCCACTGGTGGATGAGGGATAAAGATGTTGTAAAGTTAAAGCAAGAGTGAGGATATAAAACAATATCTTAAGCTTTGGACATCTAATAGAGCACCATTTAATCCATTGTCTGAAAATGGAAAGTGCTTGACTCAAAGCAAAACCTATCAAGACTTGAATGCCTCCCTAGACTGACAGGTCAAGCAAAGAGAGCAGTAATCAGGGAAGCAGCTAAGAGGTTCATGGCAATTCTGAAGTAGAAGAGTTGATTGAAATATGCACAGAGCAGAACAACAACCCTGAACACCAAGTTAAAGCTACAATTTAATTGTTGCTATCAAACCTTATTCATGTGTTACAACAGCCCAGTCAAAGCTAAGAGCTAAATCTTACAGAAATCTTGTACGAAAAAAACCCCCAACAAAAACCCATCAGAACTCTTAATATAGGCTCTCCATCCAATCTAAGATTTGAGCTTTTGCACAAAGAAATATGTGAATCAACATGTGCGAAGCTTATTGCAGCTTTGACGAAGGAAACTAATGAGCACAATGAACACATGATATACCAATTGTCATAGCTACAAATCCATCCCACACTTTTCAGTTTGAATAAAGAAAATTTAAAAATATGTAAACGCAACCTGCCGTATACATATTTTTTATGGCAGGTTGAAGACAGAGTTGTGGGACAAACGAATCGTGTGTTCTCCAGCTCTGTGGCTAGAGGGCGCTCTGACACAACCAACCTTAACTGATAACCTTGTGACGTTTCAGCTGTGAAAGTAATGTGATTTTTACACTTGCTAAGCAGAAAAACTTTATAGAAAGAATGTTCTGTACTCATACTTTCTAAATTGCTCTCAGTTTAGGGAATTTTATACGTCTATTGCATAATTGCATCAAGTCAAACAAACACAGCTGAATTTTGTTTGTTTAAGACTTCTGGAGCTAAACTTTTTTTTTTTCAGTATTGACATGTATTTTCTTTGGCTGTGCAGTGAGTGTGCAGGTTTTTTTCTGCTCAGTGTCTTAATAGGTTTAAATGGCTCCAGCCAATGAGGTGCTAATTAAAAGCAAACCTGAATGTTTCAAGAGCTCACTTGTTTTATTGTTATACTTAGCAATCTGCCCTTTTAGTTGCTGCCACAACATTTTTAATTTTGCTTTTCTCTACCCACCTCATTTGTTTTAAAGCATGCCAAACAACAATTTGTGCTACGGTTTGAAACAACAGAATGAAAATCAAATAATCCAAAAAAGACCAGGAAGTTCACTAAAAGTAACACAATTACGCATATTAAGACATAAATTGACTAAAAAGATCATAAATCCACAAGAAAACCCACCAAAAATTAGTCAAAAAGAAAAGTGAACCAAAACTATAGCAAAATTAGATACTGGTATTATATTTGAAAGATGTACAACTGACAACACAGCCCAGGAACAATTAACGTAGAGGGTTTTTTTTCTTTTCTTTTTTTTACACAGTTTGTCAAAAAGTAGTCAACAGATGGCTTTAGTTTCCAGACAGGAACTAAAGTTTTCCCTCTGGTCAATTAGTACATCAAGAAACAGCTCGTCTGGAGAGACAAAATACATGCAGGCGCAACAAATCCTAAATATTTCTGCGTTTTTCTGGAAATATTTTACCTAGTGACATTCATGCAGCACATTTTCACTCCTTTGCATCGGAGAGTAATTAACAATCTCTGATCAACTGAATTAGCTCAGTCCTTTGAATAGCGGCTCTCATGACTCATCATGACTCAGCTGAGCATGGCAGCTCAGTGTAGAATGTGTCCTGACGATCGCAGTGCGTGGAGCAACGTCAGCCAGGGTCAACCGTCACGCACACGAGTCTTCAACACAGGCTGACAAATTGCTGAAAGTATTGATGCAGGGTGCATATAAATTTGACACGGGAGTGACAGTGCTGAGCTTTTGTGTATTATGCATATAGAGAAGAGAGAAGATATGGGATTCTCTTCTCCACATTGGCTTGTTTAGTCTTATCTAACAGCTATATTTTTTATTTCTGCCTCCCTTTGTTTTTGTTTTCCTGATGACCACCACTAGAAAGAAATAATTAAAAGAGGTCAATTAACAGAATATATCAAATAAGTGTTGTAAGCACCTCCTCTCACCTGGAGGATGTTTTTCGAATTTGAGGAGGAAAACCAGAAAAAGGTACGCACTTATTCCACTAAAGAGGTTTATTGTCAAACTGTTAAACCAATGGGAACCTACAGAAAACAGTGAACACAACTACAATATAGAATTCAAATAACCAAACAACTCAATGATGCATGACACAATGTCAAGAATTACATTTCCATTATTTTTTCAGTGATAAATCTTGGAACGACTGCTCCCAATTTAATAGCAGTTGAATAATCTCTGGGTAATACTTCATTAATTTGCTTTGTGCAATACAATACACTGGATGACGCTGCCATTTCCATGATATGTTGATATGGCAACACCCTCTGAGCAATAATGAAGACATAGAAATGAACAGAATAAAGCCAGACCTATAGCTCAACACCTTAAAATAAACGAGAAAATTCCTGAAGAAATTTAACCGGGGCCTGCCAAAGTGTGCCCGTCGGTTTGGACCCAGCGTTCTGATGCTAAAAATTAGCATCTATGCTAAAGAAAGCTGAAATGTAATCAATAGCATGTGGAGAGTCACAAGCATGTTGACTGACATGGACTTGCACCATTCAGTATGTTGAAAGTAGTCTATTAGCCAAAATGCTAATGTTAGCATGTATACTGTCAGTAATATGTAGTAAGACAACTAGTAAGTTGTCTGTAATTTACTTACCCCATACAGTACTAAACATGGTTAATATGTGAGAGAAACCGCCTCCATGCATTGCATGGCAGGAACCTATTGTCCTACACCTAATAGAATGTCTCTTTAATTGGGGCCTGCCCAGAGCAATGCATTGTTCCACGTTCATTGTTCATTGTTCGTTGTGTCAGGAAAATAGTCCCCACAATACATCAAATACAGGAATACACACCCACACACAACAGGCTTTTAGTGGCTTTCTGGCCCACTTTTTGATATATATATTGTCACTCATTCCCTGTGACATTACTGATGATTGTGATTCATCTCCCTTTATTTCCAGATTCTGCAGAGCAACTCATTTGTTCTACATTTCGGGTGGACAGAAGAAGAAACGCACAAACCTCGGTTTATTCGATTTAATGACTCGATGGCTTGCAATAAATGCTGTGAATGTATGCCTAACGATCTGGATAGCCTGCTGACGGAGGAAAGTCATCCAGACATGACCAGAGAGGACTTGGGGAATGAAAACAGAGAACTTCAGCAGACGGTGGAAGATCTCAGAAGAACAATCGAGTGCTCCAAACCTGGCAGGAGTTTCTGTCAAAGGGGCTTGCAAGCAAAATGTGACATGCTTGCAAGTCAGAATGATGCACTTTATGCACAGATCAAGTCTCTTTGTGGTGAGCAAAAAAACACTGAGATTAAACACAAGAACGTGAGAGCAAAAGTGCATTCCCTGGAAGTGACCCAACAGACTCTAAAACTAAGACTCCAGAAGCTTCAGATTACCTTGACAATGACACTGCAGTTCATAAAGAGGCGATCTGACGAGGAGAACAGTCTTTCAGAGGAAATAGAGAATCTCCTGGACCAGGCTGACAGAGACCGTAAACAGATGGAGTACCTTGACCACCAAAACATGACCTTAAGGTCTGAAAATGCTCGGTTGAGACAAAGATTGTTTGAACGGGAGAAAAGAGAGCAAGAAATCAGGAACCAGGAGAGCCAAGGACCAGTTCCGGCTCTCCGAAACTTTGGTAAGAAGGTAGGTACAGTTTTCCTGACAATGTGCAAGACAGGAACACTCAGGTACTGGGTACCAGCCTGGATATTCTAATCCATCTGGTAGTTCAGGAAAACTGGTCACCTTGCTGGAACTGGTTCCAGAGAAACAGCTGGCTCTGGTGATACTGGTTCCTTTGCCACCCAATGGATGTTTGGAGAAACTGTTTTCTTCTCCAAGTTACACTAAACATCCATCAGCAGTGTGCTTCTGATCGCTAACAGCTACTGATCTTAGGCAGGATGTTTTTCATCCAAACGAAAGAACGTGGATCCAAAACCGTTTTACAACATGATATCTTTCTAATGATGCTTTGGCGGCGGCCGAGCAACCCAGATTAAGCCCTAGTTACTGCACAGATGAAGAACTGTGC